TGGCGGCCTGGCCAGGGAGACAATCGCCCCGGCGCGGCCGGGTCGGGGTCCGGGTCCAACACCTGCCCGCGCCCCCTCCCCCGCTCGGCTCGGCCGCGGCTCGGACCCCAGCTTTCGGCTCCCACCCATTTATCACCCGCTTATCACCCGCACGCTTGATAATCTGCGCCCCTCTGGGAGTGGGGGGCGCCAGGGCAAGTAGGGGAGGGCCCGGGTGAGCTGACGCCCACTCCTCCCTCCCAAGTCCCTCATAAGCTGTGAAGATCTCTGATCCTACTTTGGGGGAAAAATAAACTATTTTTAAAAGACCCTAAACTATCAGTTTCTGTCGTCATTCTTTTATTGGTTTTTAATTCTCCGGATTACACGAACAACAGTGGTAATTAATACTAAACCCTCACTCTACTGTATATGCTAATGGCAGGAGCCATAAAAATTAATTTGCAAACATGTCATTACACAATAGCTATACAGGCAATAAACCTGTAATTATGGGCCAATCACAGGCAGGGTACAGAGGGAGGGATGGTCCCCCAATCTGCTGGGTGCCCCCCTTCCCCTGCTAAAATGGGGAAGATGATGCCAACAAGGAGCTTGCCTTTTGAGAGCCACCTGTGGAGAATGCTCCCAGCTCCAGGGAACGGCAAAAGGGGTCTCCGGTCTCCAGCTCCAGGTGGCCTGGCTTCTGTGCAAGACTCCCCTGGAGACAGCCACTCCGGGGACCCATCAGGACCGATATATAGCGGGAGAGGCGAGGCAGAGCCTGGGAGAGCTCCCCGCCTAGCCTGCAGGTGGGGGGTGAGCAGCAAGGGGGGTAAGGAGGCCCCACACTGGTGGGCCAGCAGCAGCCTCCCTGCTTCCCTGTCAAAGGCAAACATCTCTCCCTATAAGCATTTGAATGCCTGTATTGAATTATCTCAAAATGCTCCGGCCCAGCCCCTAATTGCTTTTGGCCACTGCCTCAGGGAAGAAGGTGGGCAGCAAGATTCTGATACCTAAGGCTCCTTTGGCCCTGGATCTGGGTGGTTCAGAGTAGGCTGGTGACATTTCCTGGTGACAGGGACATTTGGAAGGGAGGAAAGGAGGAGACCCACTATGAGGGAGCACGGCTGCACCACAGCTCCTGACCTGAAGCCAAAACAGCTGAAAAATAAAAAGCCACCCCCGCCGTGCCAAGCAGCCTGCTTAGCGGGCTGACTCTCCACTGAATGGCTCGGTTGTTTGCCATAATGTGGCTGAACGAGGAGCTGGAAGGATTTTCCCTTTCCCACTGGCCCTTGTGGCTTGGCTGGCGTCTTTGGAACTCCTCACTATGGCCATTCATTCCCAGGGGAGCCACCCCACTCAGAGGGTGGCGATGGCCTGGCTGGGCGGGGGGGGGCGACAGGGCAGCCAGCCTGGGCCACACCTGGCCCAGGTGAGAAGGGCAGCACTCTCCTGGGAATGTCACCTCAACGGGATTCTGTGCAAGGACAGGATGTGTCTCTCCACCCCCTCTTCTCTCTCAGAGGCTGGTCACGGCCATAACCCTCCCCCTCCCGGTCAGCTCACCTCTGGGAGGAGGGGGAGGAGGACATTTCTAGAAAAGAGGCAGGAAATGGGGCAGGCTGAGCCTCCAGTGCCCCTTCTTAAAGTCTGGGCCACCGCAGCGCCAAGTCGCCCTCCCCCCACCTCCTTGAGAGACCCCTGTCCACACTGCAAACCGAACCAGGGTCAGAGGGCAGCTCTGGGCCACGTCCTGGGCAGGGTGGAAAGAAAAGAAAATCGCTTCATCTCTCAACAGGAAAGCAAGCTGGGGGCCGGCTGCCTCCCTGGAAGCTGTGTGGAGCCCACGAGACACCCACTCTGACGCTACAGGACCCCCTCCCCCTGCTGCTCCTTCAAAATGGAGGGGCCCGAGACTCCCCCTAGCGGGGCTGTGGGTGCCACAGCATGGAGACAGCCTAGCCGGCCAAGAGCGGCAGCTGAACGCAGTAAAAATAGCTTCCCTGCACGTGCTGAGGACCGCGGCTGCAGCCCGGGTCTGGAGAGCGCAGCGCGGGGGGCCCGGGCGGGGGGGGGCGGGTCGCAGCCGCAGGGCCCGCCGCCTCTGCACGCACACTGCCACCTTGCTGGTCCCCCAAGGCCAGGCCCAGCTGCCGCCGGGCCACCACGGCAGGATCCGGAGGGGCCCTGCCCCCAGGGATCCCAGGAGAGGGGGCAGAGGGCATGCTGGGAGTGTGGCTAACCCGAAATGCCCCTTTGGGTCTGCCCCCTCCGCTTCCCTCTTTAGGATAATCGTGCCAGCTGATGTTTCCTGAGCACTCAGTCTGCGCCAGTTGCTGTTCTAAGCACTTTTCACAGGGAATTCATTGGATCCTCATGACAATGCTGTTCAAGGTCACCACGAAGAGTTTCATTTTCTAGATGAGGCAGAGAGAGGTCAAGGACCTCGCCCATGGACACACAGTCGGTGGTAAGTGGCGGAGCTGGGATCTGAGCTGGTTCCAGAGTCCAGGCTGGCGTCGGACCTATCAGAGTTCAAGTTTCAGCTGGGCCCCCACCCACCGAGTGCCCTCAGGCCGTGACATCACCATCTGGAGACTCAGTTTCCTCACCTGGAAAATGGGATGAAATTGCTCCTGCATTCCAGGGAGACACCGGCGTGTAACCGCCCCGGTGCCTGGCAAAGAGTAAGGACTCCATAAACAGAGCTGTAATTACTCCCGTGTTTTGGATAATAGTGATAATACGGCTATTGAGCGGGCCTCAGGACACCCAGGCCTCCCCGTGGCGTGCTTTGCTAAGAGCGTTATCTTATCTGGAACCTGCCTCCACCCTGGGAGGCAAACCTACAGTGACCATCACCCCATCTCGTACCTGAGGACGCCGAGGCCCCAAGAGGTGAAGTCACTCACCCAAGGGCACACAGGGAGCAGACACACCCGCTTTCTCCCTCTGTTCAGCTCCAGTCCTTAAGTGACCAGACCTCGTGTGAATGTTCCAAGTCTCAACATAAGCATGTCTGAGAGGTCAGAAGAGAAATGGGGAACCTCTGTCCAGGCTCACGGCACGGTGACATTTGCAAACCCAGGTCTGGTTTCCATCTTTGCGTGGTGCGCTTGACTTTGCTTTCCTATTACCCAGCAGCTCCAGCAAGCACCTCACCCAGGCTTTACGGTCCTGTCTTGGGGGGAGAGGGGGCGTTGTCCAGCCAGGTCTCCTGGGGCCTCCTCCCCCTGCCCCAGTGTAGTGGGTTGAATGGTGGCCCACCAAAATATATGTCCACCCAGAAGCTGTGATTGTGACCTTATTTGGAAAACAAGTCTGTGCAGATGTAATTAAATTAAGGATCTTGAGATGAGGTCATCCTGGATTATCGGAGTGGGCCCTAAATCCAATGACAAGTGTCCTTATAAAAAGAGCAGACCAGAGAAGACACAGGGAGGAGGCCGTGTGAGGACGGAGACAGACATGGGACAGGACCACGGCCCCCGGGAGCACCTGGAGCCCCCAGGAGCTGGAAGAGGCAGGAAGATCCTCCCCTAGAGCCCTCAGAGGGAGCGCAGTGACCCTGCTGACACCTTGAGTTGAGATCTCTGGCCTCCAGAACTGGGAGAAAATAAGTATCTGATGTTTTAAGCCACCCAGTTTGTAATAATTTGTTACAGCAGCTACGGGAAACTAATACATCCTGTCACTCCTGTAGAAGCAAATGCCTCCCTGCTGCCAACCCAGGGAGGCCCTGGCTGTTGCCCAAGGCTGGACGCCGCGGGCCTCGGGCCAGTGGGGTCAGTCTCTCCTTCAGGTCAGCAGCAAGGGCCTGGACAAAGACGAAGGGTCCGGGGCCCCTGGCACCAGTGTGTGTGCAGGTCGCCTGTCCTCTGTGAAGCTGAAGTCAACACCCCACTGGGATGGGGAGGCTTTCTAGTGGCCTGCGCACCCTCTGTTCTCCTCCCTGATGACCCACATTCGCTGGCTGGGGTTTGGGCACCAGACGTCCACTCCCAGGATGACCTCCATGGATAGGAGACGCAGCACCTCCATCAACCCCCCAAAGGCTGTTAAGAGCAGAGGCCTCTGATGTGGCCTCCCTCCAACGTATATTATGTGGGCACGCGGTTGAGAAAGATCTACTGTGTGGCTTCTACTTCGAGTGTTGTAACATGTCACTTCCAGTGTGCTGAGCCCCTGGGACATCAGGGCCTCTTTGTTACAGCAGCTCATGTTAGCTTAGCACACACGACCTACAGATCTCCTGCGCGGACATTTACTTAATACCTCGTACTGTGCTGGATGCTTTAAGTGCATGACCTTATTTCATCCCCCCGGCATAAATAAGGCTATCATTATCTCCATTTTGCAGATAAGAAAACTAAGGTCCAGAGAAATAAAGCAACTTGCCCGAGGTCACACAGCCAGTCAGAGGAAAAGCTTGGATTTGAACCCGGGCCCTGCATTTTAAACTGCTCTCTATGGAAACCCCGTATCAGCCTCCAGCAGGACCTGGTAAAGAGGCTGGAGCTCAGATTCCTTTTAATGAGAAGCGAAACAAACAAAAAAGCCAGGAAGGGCAAGGACCACGCACGCTGCAGTCTACACACAGAACTGGGTGTCTTGACCTCCAGTTCGGGCCTGCGGTTGAAGCTCAGGATTTGGGAACTCTTTAAAATCCTGGCTTGATGAGC